CGGAAATATTGACCACCATCTTTATCAAATGTCAAATGATTAAAATTATTTTATTTATAAATTTAGCTTTATTTGGTGGTAAAACGAATAATTATAAACAATTTTTTTCTGTTTCTGTAAATTACCTATTCTATCAGCATGATGGTCAATGATTCCTCTATTGTTATATGTTATTTCTGATATATTTCCTGAAAAACACAAACACCATGTGACGTAAAAACTATATACACAAGAAGTTTAAATATCAGTACAAGCAACTTTTCTATTTTGTCATTTCTCAGGTCGGATAGTGGCTCATCTTACTTGGACCACGCTGTAGGGAAAGTCTAAAAATAAAGGATCGAAAACATTGGAGCTAATGAAATGCTTCCCTGAAAAATGCTTCAATGCGAATTCCGATCCTATACTGTACATATTCAGAGTCCGAAGATTGTTATGCTATCAAAATTAAATTAATAAAGGTATGTCATTCTGTCTCTTTAATTCCACGAGACGGTAGGCAGAAGGGACCAGAAAAGGTAATATCTTTTTCTCAGAATCCACCGGGAGAATTATGCTTTTGCGCCAGTGACGTGGCCTCGTGAGTTTTCCTCGATGCTTTTATTCATCGCATCAAGTTTTTGTTAAACACGGTTCTTATAATCGTGTCCCGCTTTCCAACTGGTCGATGTCTTCTTGTTTGAATTTTTGTTACTGTTTGGGTCGTACTATACGGGGTGCGGCGCCCGCACAATAGGCGAGATTTTTTTTGTCGGCGCTCCTACGCTGTTTCAAGGTAAAAAATGAGAGGTTAATGCTGAATTATGCTAATTGAAAGTTATTAATCGACACGGGGGTCTTGTAATTTGTTGGGTCAAAACAGAAGGCATAACAATAACTTTATTTACGCGGAATTCCTTTTATTTATTTAATAATAATAATAATAATAATATTAAAGTGCCTTTATTTTTGTACGAACGGAAATAGAAAATACAATAACGGGAGCACACAGTTCAAGGTATTCGTAAAATATTCACTTCCATCTGGCCACCTCATTAACACATTAACATAAAAGTAAGTAAATGAGGGATAATATTTTATCTTGTTTAAAAATTACGTTAAAAAAGAAAATATAATGATAACAGAAAGAAACTGAAAAATCGAAACAGACAGTACAACAGAATAAATAAACAACCCAGCTACCACTGCTGCTTACGGGCTTTTTTTTAACTAAGTACATTGGTTCCTTCCACGACGATAAATAAAATGTAAATGTCCCTAGAATATCATGTACAAATCAATATTTAACAACCAAGATTAAAATGTGATTGATCGATTTAGGGGCATGTGGGATTTAGTTGCATCTGCATTGACCCAGCGTCGTACATATAACATTTCTTATTGCAAATGTTTGATTCTAAAAGACTTCAAGTAGGTTTTAGTTTCAAATTTATTTTTAATATATTGCTCGAGGTGGATCAGTCTGTGTTTTTGTGAAAACTCTGATGATAATAATTTTCTATTTCTGAAACATGTCGGCTAGTCACTTTTGTTTTTGTGTGGAGTACATTTCTTCTTTAAAAAAGACCCCATATCGATTTAGATAATTCGATAGTTAAGATAATGGAAATTAAGATTAAATATTCTTTGTTAGACCTATGTTTATTATTTCCGTTAGTATTCGGTGAGTATTACGTTGTTAGTGGAATAAACTGTCAATAATGTATCAAATATCCACCTCAGATAGAGAAATCGTAGACTTTAGTTAAATGTAATTTTGGTTTTATCAAACGGTTTCCTGAAACTGGTTCGCTTTCAACTCCCGAAGATGTAAATTTTATTATATCTTGGACACTTATTGTATAACGGGATCCAAGCGTCCATATTTTAAAGTAGGAAATTACCTCCTGGTAAATGTCCTATTCTGTGAATCTTGGCGATAAATTCGACTCTTGGCCAGTAGCGTTACATCTCTAGGGGAAACTGAAAAATTAATTTTATGGCAGACTGAAATAGTCACACTTTAATGCATTACATATGAGATTACTCAGACTCTCTGATTTTGATAACTGCGTCGCCTAAAGCTATTGTTTCCGATGCTCGATAACAAATGGGCGATTGCTAAGAAATTTTGCTCGGGAAATGTTTTCCATTCAATCGTATTTCATTTAAAGTCGATGGTGCAGTGTTTATGAGTTTTCAGTTCAACATTTTTTTGGGTGAGAGAATGAATTTATTGAAAAAAGAAACTCATATAAAATAATGCCTTTATTTACTCTTACTTACCTTTGCATTTATTGGCTCATAGCTTGCAAACACGATTAGTTTTTTAGGACAATTAGTCGTTAATTGTGTACAAAATATGATTTTAATTTTTCGAATTCTTCAAGTTTAGATTTATCCGTGTGAAAAGCCTTTTACAAACTTTCGACGGGTGCGGGTGATGTGTAGTTACAGTTCAAAATAGTAGTTTTATTTTTGTATTAAAACTTGAAAATGTTTTTTTAGAAAAAAGCAAAAATTTAACGCATCTCTTTCGATATTAATGTATTGACCGGCTTTGGACAGGTTATGTGGTCCACGTTTCGGCAGTTTTATCACTTACGTTTAAAATTGTGTTCGAAAACGATCTACCACACTGCAATTATATAAAATAAAAATGTTAAAAAATAAAAAAAAGATGCAAATGTATATGAAAGAATACAGATTAGAATTAGTATTGCTATTGTTTTGCAATCTTGGTTAATTATGTAAAGAAATAGCAAAAACGTAAAATAATGCAAGTGACCAAACAAAAATTAAAGGTAACAACGTTAAATACAGCCAAAAACAAACATCTTCACAATAGGGATGATTTTCAATCTATATTTATTAACTGTATATATTGACCCAAAAAAATCACCCTTATAGTGAAGATGGTTTATTTTTGCCTGTATTTACCCTTCTTAACTTAATTTTTGTTTGTCCTTTGTATTATTTTTTGGTAAACATTTTTATTTGTTTTTAAGAATTTGTTTTTTTTTTTTTTCAGTTTCGAATTAGTTTATTTTTGATTGCCTATTTCTTAGTTGATCTAGCCGATCGCGGATAGTTGGATTCCCTTCGATAATCAATTAAGTTTTAAGCGCCGTATTGTGCATTCTTTTAATATGTTCGAGAATTCTCCGGATTTCTAATTCTATTTTACCATTTTTGTTATTATTATTTATTTTACATTCTCCGACATGTAGATGGAACCATACAGATTAGATTACTATTACTACTAGCTAGCGATCTTGGTTAATTGTGTAAACAAATAATAATAATAGTTTATTTACTGTAAGTATTTATATAATCAGCATCTATATCCGTTAACCAATTTTACAAGTAAAAAGGAGGCCGAAATTCAATTTAAAAAAGATTCTAGTTCAGCCTCCAAGGTAAACTATATATATAATGTCTATTAATGTTGACAATGCCAATTACACTAAAGTTCTAAATCCTCTACAAAACGCACACTGTACGAAAAGGAAGGAAACAAGATAGAAAAAAATTGTCTATCGTATATTATTAACTGTTTATATTGATATTTAAATGAGCCCACTGATACGCTGATAATGTTTTTAAATTGTGCGGAATATTTTTAAACAAAATATAAATAGGAAAAATGTAAATATGATACAAATGGCAAACAAAAAATTAAGTTCACAATGGTAAATACAGCCAAAAGCAAACCATGTTCGCAATAAAGGTGATTGTCAATGTTAATATACTGTATATTTATTAACTATATATATTCATACGGAAAATCGACCTTATTGTGGATGTGTGTTTCTGAATGTATTTACCCTTCTTAACTTTAATTTTTGTTTGTTGCGATCTTTGTGATTCCTGAAGGAAGAAGGCAATAAAATAAGAATTTGTTTTTTGAGTTTCGACGTTTTTTCTAGAATATTAAAATTACCCCTACCTAAACTGTACCGATTAATCGTCACTTTACAAATACAACGAAAAAATTTGAAGACGGTAGTGGTGCTTTCTGTTGTGCTTGGTAGAAATTAATAAGTGCTTCGATGTCAGAAAATGTGTTTATTCTTATCTACTTTTACTTACTCCACTCATAGCTTGCAAACATCAACATTTTTTTTAAATTGGTTGTGAAAAACAAATCTAAGTATCAAAGTAATTTTTCTGTGTAAAAAACACTTTGCAAACTTTCGTTAAGTGGGGCTGATGACAATTTGCAGTTCAAAATAGTTTTTTTGTTTTAAAACTTTTAAAGAGTATTTTTTTAATTTTGACGTTATGTTTTTTAGAACCTAAAAAGTAAACCGGAAGCCGGCGGTGGTGCAAATTGACGTATGTTTATTCGTGATGATAACTCGGTGCAATTATTATATTGGTGCCTAATTGTTTTCGAAAACTTTCATTTAACGCCGAGACAGTGTTATTTACAACGTCTATGTCTTCGCAAAAATTTACGCCCACTTTTTATTTATCGGAAGCAAACGCTGAATAATGATCGTCTGGCATATTAAAGCAATTTGTATTGTACGGTAGGTTCTATGAATCAAATTAAGCAACTTATAGGAAATTCAGCAAAAAAAAAATGATGTTGCGTACTTGGTTGCTCTTATCGATTCCCGGTAGTATCGAGAAATACAGTTTTCTCGATTTTAATTTTTGTTTTGATTCCTAGATTCGTTTGACTTGTTTTTTGTTTTTGCTATAAGTATCGTTTCTATTGTGGAGTCGTGTCAAGATTTTCGTTTTGCGTCGCTAAAGGTTAGTTTACCAGTTCTCGCAACTTTTCGTGTTGATATTTAAATTTAAAATGCGTTATATATGCGCTGGAGCGGATCAAATGTCGTAAACAAAAATCGTTTTCACATCGATTATCGTGGAAGGTATATACCGGGCATTATTTTTATCGTACACAGAACCGTTTTGCAATAAAGACTTGCCGAGTTAACCGATTATTTTTCGATTTCGTTTTGTTCCGGGAACTGGGAATTGTATTAACGGTCCTGTTTTATTTTCAGGGAAACATTTCTTGCGACGGGGCTGATGTCAAAACGCGCCATGGTGTCGTACGAACGGTACAGACTTTTTTACTTCAGGAGGACTTTGATATTGTTTTTGGCTGTGGGCAGTGTCGTCTCGAAAGATAATGGCGTCCAGGTGTGCGGCAACGGTTTGACAACCCCAGGATGTAATTTCTTATACTGTTTTTTTGTCCTGTTTCGTAACTTTCACGTTTTAGATACCGTGCCGTCTGGAGATATCACTTTGGAGTACGGCGAAGATTTGGATATCACTTGCATTTTGCGCGAAGATAATGGCACGAACCCCAGTTCGAACATGACCATTTCTTGCGGCTCCCGCCTCCTTCCTGTAAGTTGTTACATGATTTTTTTTCAATTTAATAGATTTTAATGTTCGGGGTGGTTTAACACGCAAACAGTTTTTTTCCACAAAATTTCTATTTTTAAACCGAAATCTGTATATCACATATGTATATAAAAAGCGTAAATTAAAAAAAATAAATTACATTTAAATGCAAAAACCCTACATAAATGTATTAGCAGATAGCGAAAACATATAGTAAAAGTGAAACTTAACTAACTTAAAAATTTTCGTAATTAAAAAAAAACATTCAAAGGCGAACGAATGTCTCTCAAACTGTACGAGGTAAAATAACTATAATTTGACATCAATTTTGAAAGCGCCATCAAAATATAATACCGAATTTGGATTTCCCACCAATTTTTAATTCAGTATCTTAAGTCTTTTTGAAATATTTATGAAACGCTGCATCGCGTGGATTTTACCGATGTAACAAATCTTCTGATTTATAGTACCAACTGTTGTTTTAGAGCGAATAAACTGTGGGACGCCCTGTATATAAAATATGAAACATACAATACAGTACAAATATCTCCACAACATGAAACAGTAATGACAACATTGTTCGCGATTTGTTGAATTGATCCCTTGCACAGCATCAAACGCTCTAAAGGCACTATGGCTTGAAAATTGAGGGATTTGAAACTCTTATATTCGCGCTATGATATTCAGATCTTTTACCAATTAGATTAGTTAAGTATTTAGCTTTATTATTGTTTATTACTTTATAAAGAAGCGAATAGAGATATACCATGCCATCATTAACTATTCATTCATTTACATGGAGCCTGAATGAAAATATTATTTAACGTAAGATGAAAGCAAAGTAAAATATTACATATTATTAGGACTGTAGGCGCTTTTATTCAGCTTTAAAATACGTAATAGTATAATCGAAACCAGACGAATTCGATAAATTAATTAAATTAGCAATAATGTAAGACTTTTTTTTTTAATTTCATTTCGGTGAATGTGGTCTTTTCTAGATTGATACGAACACTCGTTTTCAATAAAATTTAAATCGGATAGGAGAATATTTTTTATAAAAAAATGATTAAATATCGGTGTTGTTGTCACATTTGTCACATTTAGTTAATTAAAAGTGTTTGTTGAGTTCTACCAATTCTACAATTCTACAAATTCTTTTGCAATATAGGTATAGCTACTAAATATTATAATCAAAATTTTGAAAAAGGATCAGAAGACACTATAAATGATCATCAATTTAATTTATGCTGCTTTCAAAAATTGGCTTTTACTCGATGAAAATCCATTTATCAAAATAAATAAGAACTAACAGTTAAGATTTTCACGAAATTATATTTTTTAACGTGACAATGGTTTCGACAACACCGTGTCTTTATCAAATGTGTATTTGGTAAAGACACAACGACAATTGTTATGCAAAAATATATAATTTCGTGAAAATCGGAACTTTTAGTTCTGATTTAGCCACCTCAGTTCAATATATGGAAATTTCTTAACGATAATTTTGTGATATAGACAGATTGAATATAGATTTCGCTTTTTTCCATCTAAAGCCAACTTGAATCATACTCTCCAATATATGTATGTAAAACGTTGGCAAACTTTCTGAACAAGATAGGTTTCCTAAGTTGAGGTTTAACTTTTCTAGGTGGAGGTAGTGGATTCCAAAAGTATCAGACTTCATATAGAAAAGCACCATAAAGTATCATCGGAGCATTACGTTTGTATGTATGGCGATAAACTTGTCTGCCAAAATGTGGTCTCCGTTGGAAGTAAGTGTTAAATAAATTTTGCAGCATCAAAGAGCGGCAGTAAAAAAATCATTATCGTTTCAGCGAAACCTCAAAAGGTCACGGATTTCACGTGCATCAGTTTAAACTATCAAAATTTAACTTGTACCTGGACAGCACCTGAGAATTACGTCAGGACACATTACAACTTATCGTTCACTTTTCCACAACGTTCGTCAAGGTAGATGAACGTTTTTTTTTTTTTGCAAAAGCATCTAATTTTTGGAGATACTTGTAGGTTTATTCAACATTGTCCAAATTTAACTTACCAAGAAAAGGACGGCAAAGTTGTATACAAGTGTTTTTGGAGCTTAGATACTAGACCACAATATAGAAGCGCCCACGACTTGTTCGACTTCCATTTGGGCATGAATAATACTTTCGGTTCCGTAGTTAATAACTTTAAGTTTCATCACTACAAATACGGTGAGTCAACATTGATTTTTTTACGACCTGTTTTGCTTGAAACGTCGTATTACTATTTTTTGCTTTCCAATTTTGAGTTCGATTTTCTTTTTCTTTTCATTTTATTATATGAAATTTGAAATTTGGATTCATCTAGCCGTTCATGGATGTTTCGTTTTTTAAATTTTAAAAAATTAGATGAAGTGAGGGAGACGCTGAAATACTTGCGTGGGTAGAAACGGCACAGATTATAAGCCCCGCCCTTGCCATCCTCGACCAATAAAGGCGGTGCTTGGTTGATAAGGCAAACCTGTATAACTTAAATCCATCCCCACGGTAAAAAAGTGTTCGAATAAAAAAATAATAATTTGTATTATAACCGAAACTATTTTTTTTAACTTAAGTGATTATGTGAAAATTTTTTAAAAATAATCTAATTTAAGTTTTATTTCGTTCCATGTTTGAAAAGAAAATTATTGGAAAAAAAATGTTGAGAATTATGCATTAATTAGATATTATTGGTCATAATTTTTGTCATTTTCTTTTAATTAAAACGATATTGATTATATATATATATATATATATATATATATATATATATATATATATATATATATATATATATATATATATATATATATATATATATATATATATATATATATATATATATATATATATATATATATATATATATATATATATATATATGATGACACTATATTCCGGGATATCATCCGTTCGCTCGTTGAACTCCGACTGGAATCCTGCAAATCTTGCATCCGACTGGAATCCTGCAGACGTTTCGCCAAAATCTCACTTGGCATCTTCAATGCTCGCGCTCCGAAAACACTTCGAACACTATATATATATATATATATATATATATATATATATATATATATATATATATATATATATATATATATATATATATATATATATTTATTGTTTCTTTCATTATAATTTCATCCGATATTAAAAAAGGAGACGTTGCAAGCAATTGAATTAATTATTTTTATTGAGGGAATCGAAATTGAAAATTAACTACCACGAAAATGGTTTTGAAGATTGCATTTGCCATATTGTTAATTTCAGTCATTCCGAATGCTCCGGTGAACCTAACGGCCAAAGTAACGTCGCCTCATTCGGTAAAACTTAGTTGGAGATTGCCGGTTCACATGGGAAGCTTCCCACCTGGTGTATTCCATCGCATCATGTACTTAATCAATGGCGAAGGTAGCGCCGAATGGCATTTGGCGGATATAATAACGAACAAGACTAAAAACAAAAGTATCGAATACGAGCTTAAAGGCCTCAAATACGCGCACACCCTGTACGACATACGCGTATCAATGAAATCTGCCGTTGCCGACGATGACGAATATTTATGGTCCGGATTTTCTTCCGTCACCATACTCACACATAGCAAATTGCCCGATCGACCACCCAGGACCAACATGGGAAGTTTCGAAGTGATGAACTCCGCCAATAGGACCGTTTACATCTATTGGCAGAAAATCGGTGTGCGTGAGGAAAACGGTGAAAATTTCTCGTACTTCGTGAACATATCCGAAGACGGTAGCATAAAGCCGACGTCTTTGCACAAGAATTACGCTCGTTTCGATAATCTTCGAGACATTAACTATACGTTCAACGTGTACTCGAAGAATCAAGTGGGTTTTTCGCTGGATTCGTCCAAAGTTTTCGTTCCGTCTTCTCTCTACGGTGAGCACGGTTTTTCGGTTTTGTGGATATCGCAGAGTTTTGACTTTGAATTATCGTTGCAGCGATCAAAGAGCCGTCCAATTTAGTCAAAGTTGATCGTGGAAAGGGACAATATTATTTGGCATGGGAACCGATCAATTTCCAGCAGATTTCCAACTATACGCTGTTTTGGTGCACCGATTCTCGCGACAGGCCATATCAGTGTGACGTAAGAATTTATTTCAATTTATTCTGCGCTTGGTATTTAGTTTAGGTCACCGCATTCCCCAGTTATCAAAATTTTTAAAAGAAGTCAGATTTAGTGCCACACGTTTACAGTTTAGATGTGTTGCAGAAACGTGGGGGGTATTTTTATTTAAACGACGACGTTAAAATGTTTAGTTCAGCATAATTAATTTAGTTGCTACAGCATTTTCACGTAGGGTTTTTGTATCACTCCAACACGGCCTCCAAAAAGTAAAACGCCAGTAAGTTTCATGTTTCATCAGGTTGAGTGTAAATTATATTAAATTCGGTAGATTTTTTCCCGATTTTATTAGAAAGATATGTTTTTGACTTGCGGTTTCGTTTATTAATTAAAGTGATTATTTTTCCAATAATATGGGTGAGTAATATTGCTGAACAAACAATTTAAAAATGACATGTAAAACAATTAATGTGATTCTTCTAAATATTTATTAACGTTTCGATCGTAATTTCGATCTTTTTCGAAATATTCTTATTTTGTATAGGTGACATATATAACAATTAATGACATTTGCGTTGTGTTAATATATTAAAAATAAAAATAAGTTGTCAGCGAATATTTTATACGGATTGGAATGGCATGCAAAACAGGTACGAATGTTTTTTATTATTTTTTATTATATTGGATAATTTAATTTTGTTAGTTAGTTTTGTTAGTTAGGTTTTTAGAATCGGTTTTGTAATTAATTGAATTTTTTTTTTTGATTTCTATACTTTCATAAAGTTCTCTTTTTTTGGTGTTAGGTTCTGTTAGTAGGACTTTAACTTTTTGAAAATTAAATGTGTGTTTGATGTTTTCGCAATGGGTATGAAGAGCTGTTTTGTTTTTTTTTTTTTTCATACTTATGTCCGTTGATTCTATTTTTTAAATATTGGCTTGTTTGTCCTATATATACACTGTCGCAATTAGAGCATATATAATTAGCTAGAAAGCTATAAGCAGGGAAGTTTTATTTAATGCACACTTAACTCATTAAAAAATCGAATCAGTATTTTATAAAATCAATAATTTTATCGATAAAAAAACGTTCATAAAAACGTTGTTCTAAAATTAAAATATATTTTTAAATTACAAAGTTTGCCTAAATTAGTTGGAATTAGAATACAGTTTTACTTGACATTTGTTACCCTAACATCTGAACTAATTGTGCTGAGGACATTTAATCATCGTCGCGATTGAATACTACTAATGATGCAGCATCAATCAATTTTTCATTTACTTTTATTATTAGAGTTGATAATGCTTGTAGCCCGGCCATAATATTAAAAAATGCCCGCTTTGTGATTTCATTTATTAATTGATTTAATTGTTTTCTAATATATGTGATCCTGAAAGTCGGAAGTCCCAAAAAAATAACTCTGAAACTCCTTTTTTAGGGCAATTTAAATTGGATCACACTAGCAAGGAACTTCTCAAATCACGTACTAAATGTACCCGACGATCCCAAAAATTCATATCAATTCGCTATATCGGCCAACTCGTTCGACGCTAGTAGCGGAATGCTGTGGGCGGAATGTACAATAATCCAGGGTAGAAGTATCGGCAAAATGAGGCATGTATATATTAAAAGCTCCCAACCAACGTCAATTACTGTTGCCTGGAATTTGGAATGCGCTAATAAAATGGGCGCCGTTACTGGTTACGTTATCCAGTACTGCCAACATGGTTCGGATCCAACTTCGTCTGAGTGCAAAAACAATGAAATGATGCACAAAAACATAAGCGGCAGCTCCAAAACTGAGGAAGCTACCATAGACGGACTAAAACCATATACGAGTTATAAGATCCAAGTAAAGGTGTTGTTAAACCACAACGAAAGTCAATATAGCGACCCCATATTTAATCACACTTCGGAAATGGCGCCCAGCGAACCGCAGAACCTTAGAACCGAGTTCGTTACAAATTCATCTGTGAAGCTTTCTTGGCAAAAACCGAAATACGAAAACGGTTATATTCGTAGTTATACATTGAAAATTAAAAGCGAGTTCGGTGAAAGGGCGGTGGAAATAATCGCGGTGACTAATAAAACGATTTACGAAGACACATTTACCGATTTGTTAAGCTACACGAAATATAATATCAGCGTTCAAGCGTGTACTAAAGATTGTTCGAAACCCGCCAATATATCGGTCGTGACCAAAATGTCCGGTAAGTTCGCGGTCCTCTTCGTTTTTGGAAAAACGTCTAGTGTTGAAATTATTTCAGCTCCCGTAGCGATCGGGCCGGCGGGTTCTGACTGGCAAAACTCATCGCTCGTTATCCACTGGGAAAAACCGAAAAATCCCGGCGGAAAACTCGATTATTACGAAGTTAAATTGGGTTCGTCGCGCGACCTCGGAAGCGTGTACCCTCAAAACGTTACAGGTAAAACTAGAGAGGGAAAATTTTATTAAACTTTTATTGCGTGTCATAATTTACAAAGTTTATAGTCTATTTCAGGAAGTTGTAGAGTAATAAAACCTCATTAGCTATGCAAAGGGACTACAGGGTGACCCTAGGAAAGCTTAAGCCACATTGTTTGGCATTTATTTCATTGCAAAGTTCTTCCCTACTAGGAACGTTTAATAGTCTAGTCCCTGAAGGCGCCTAAGTACCAGTTGACAGCCCTGTCATAAAATCTTAACGAGCACTTGTTATATTTTTATCATGACACGTTTCATTAATCTACATCTCATCAAGATAAGAGATTTTCTTCTGCTCTCATCAGCACTGATTTATACTTATTTCTTCTACTTTATATTTACGAATACGCTTTTCCCAGGCAAACTCCATAAAAGTTTTCAAGTTATCAACGGAGTACTGTCATCCCGGCCAAGCCTAGTTCAAACTTCGGCATTTTATTACACTCTACACTTTTCTGAAACAGCCTATAGCGTATTATTTTATTTATTTCTTTTATAATTGGTTAATTGATTCCAGAACCGCGGTATATAATGCAGAACTGCGACGAAACGAAAAGGTACGACATTTTTTACATGTCGGTGAGGGCGATCAATATTAACGACGAGACAGGTGAGCCTTTGAAGGGGCCTTGGAGCGAAACAAAAGAGTATCGCTGCGCACCGCCCAAATCGCCAACGGGAATTTACATTGGAATTTTCATCTGCGTCATCTTCTTCTTCGGTGGCGTCGCGTACGCATCCAAAAAGTAAGAAATTTATTAATTAATTAAAGATTAATTCAAATTTTTGTGATTGGTAAACCTTAGAAGAATTTAGCAAAAAAATCCAATGAATTCACTGGAATTCCAAACTCAAATTTGCAGCCATCGACTTCAAATTTAGCAGAGAAGTAGAAGTCCATACCCGCATCTAAATACTAGAAATTGAGCACAATTAAATTTCACCAAGCATATTTTTAAAAATTTGGATTTTTTTGGTTATTTTGGCTTCTACATAAAAATTATTTTCTCGAAATCAATTAACACGATCTGCCAAATTTCTTTAACCAAGATACGGAAGATACGGTACCATAACTTTTATGGACAAAAACTCTAAAACCTCCTGAAAATTTCCGTTTTTGTAAGTAAATTATTGGCTGTACATGAAAAACTATCATATTTTGTGTCGAGAGAAAGTTTCAGGTCTCGTCTATCACACATGGTGCGCGAGATTCTTGGAAAAATATCACTAGAAATCGTTATTACTTGTACATTTTTTTATATTTATCAATGTTTGTCGTGATTTTGAAGTTTTGGCTTTATACAGGGTGTATGCATATTACATCGCGCTACGCACTACGTACTTGCCCTGCCCAGCTACGATTTTTCGAAAGCAATCTTGTTATAAGTATATTATGACCACGAATCTATGCAACAACAGTGGTAAAAATGGTAAAAATATGAAAAATCGTTTTGTATATGCAGGTTTAGTTAATAATAACGAGTTCAATAGATCGGTGGTCCTACTATACACAAAATAATTTAAAAGTATAAGAAAGGGTATTGCACAATCAAATAAAAACGCTATAGGTTAATAACAAAGGCGAGGATTCTAAAGTAGGAGCAATCGTTCTCTGAGTGGTGATCGAAACTGTATTCCTAATAATGCTTTTAAAAGGACCTGAACCATTGAACCTACAAAGTTAGTTAAATAGGCAAAGTTGTTCATTTTTCTGAACTTCTTTCGTTCCACATTCAAAAAACGAAATTTTTCCATTCTTTTAAGTTGTCGCCTTCATTATTATCTATCTCAGCAAAAAACGTAAAGGAAAAACTGTTAGATAATTGGATTTTGCACTTTTATACCTCACCAATCCGCAAACTAAGTGTCTATTTCAATACTTTCCGAGATGCCTTCACGAAATATCGAACGAAACTCACCCTGTTTTGAAAATTGAGTGACCTGAAGCTTTCATTCGTCTTGATAATAATTTTGGAATATATTTTTATCGAACTAATCGATTTACCCAGAGGTTGGGAGAAATGGAAGGACATGAAAGCTTTGCAACCGAAATTTCCCGACGGGATCGAGGCGGTGATAAACAGCGAATTAGAAAAAGAGAAACACTTGGATGATGACGATCACAGCTTGCCGGCGGACGAGCTGCCAATGCTGAAGAAGTTCCCGAGTCAGTCGAGAACTTTAAGCGGAGATTCGAGCGGTTTGAGCTCGGGCAACGAGAGTGTAGCCTCATCCCTCCATTCCGCGGAGAATTTTTCCACATCAGATTCGGGTACTGAGCATCCTAGGTCGCCATCTTTAAGTGGCAGCGAGCATAACAGGGATATATCTTTGAGGCAAAGGACTTCAGTTAACAAACCTTTCAAGAAATCTGGTGAGTTGTAGAAAATTTTTGGAACATATTGTCAAAAAAAAGCACTAGATTAATTTTGAGAGGATTCCGCCCACTAGTACTACCACCAAAGTTTACAGAATATGTATGCACCTCACCTAAATATACGTAACTCCTTAAGAATTTACTTTATTCTTATTCTTTATAATCTCTTTAACATGTGAGCAAAAGATTTGTATTTATATCAGTCGAGATTAAGTTTTTGACACGAAACACAGGAAATATTGAGATAGCCCATTTAATATCAATAATCAACAACAATCAATCAATCATGACCGCTGACAGTCTGTCAATTCAACAGAATTTAATTGAATTGTAGCATTTTTACGGTAGTATATTCTCAAAATATGAGGTCTCGTTTAATGTTCTAGGGAAATGAGTTAACTGTGTGAAAATCACTGTTTATAAAAAAGATGGCTCAAAATGCAGGTTAAATAATAAATGCTTCGTTTAAATTGCCTAAAAAAATATATTGAAATGACAAGTCAAAAAAGTAAAAACGGATCAACTGCTTTATATCCACTAAAAATAAATTTAATTTTAAAGAAATTTAATTTTTAACACAAGATAATAATTATCCAAAAAAAGCAATGATTCGTATTAAAAAAGAAATAAATGTTGTAAATGATCGATAAGATAGTTATACCACAATCTTATAACATCTAAATTAAAAATCAAATAAAAATAAAATAAATAAAAAGGAACTATATTAATGGTAACATACTTGCACTGTTGCTAGATACAGAAAAAAATCTCATTTTATGCAAATTTTAATTGATAACTATTCGATGCAAAAAATCTTCATAACAATCTCGTGTATCGGGTTATGTACTCTTATATACTTTATACGCCTTCTAGGAGTATTAATTCTATGATTATATAATAGCTATACATAAAATACGTGTAAGGTATACCTAAGATAATTTATTTAAAAGTAACCAGACATACGCAAGAGCTTATATTCTGTAAACTTGAATAAAAACGGCGATACAGCCAGACTGTTTGTTGGCTTTTATAGGAACTGTTTCTTTTCTTCTTATTGTCAAGCAATTCTCAGTAACAGGAGACTCTCGTCTCCTAGAAGCAAAGGCACCCTGCACGCAGCCTTATTACAAGTTGCAGGCATGCGCACTAACGGAAAACTATGAAATTAAGCAAAAAAAATTAGCATTATTTTTCTTTACTTTTTATTGTAACCCTGTAAAGCGAATGGCCGTTTCAATGACAGACACCATTTTATTGCGTAGATTACACCCAAATGTCGGACTTGAATGCCTCAGTTAAGCAGCCGACTCCCGGTTACAGCGTTATTGGACTAGATCCGATGGCGAAACAACCGGAAACAGAAGCCGGATATATATCCTTGGATATTCAACAGGGCAAAATGCCCTGCGTGCCATTCACTCAGTCCTTAGATAGAGCTGCGGAGACCACGACGTCCGGTTACGTCTCTTACCCCTTCCAAGGACCGACGTCGAAGGCTACCGATTACGTAATGGCGGGTATTCCGAACAAGGAACCGATGCTGATGCCGAACTTCCTTCAACCGAGAGACGAGAGGTCTACGTACGTGAAAGCGGCGCCGGCAGAGGCTCCGAAAAATATTCCTTTCGTATGGCAGCAGCCCCCTCAGGAGACGTCGGCATTTCCGAAAACAGGTTACGTATGCGTAGGCGATAGTACGCCGCCCAAAAACGAGCCAAGCATTAACCTCGGTGGGAAAGGTTACGTACCTCATAACAAATTCGAACCCAAACCGTTTAAGGAAGACTAAGTTTTTATCAAAAAAAAAAAACTGGTACTCAGTTTATACGTTTTTTTTTTAATCAAAATGTTTATTTTTATTAAGTATTTATGTAAGTGTGTAGTTTTTTTTCTACCAGTTCGCTTTCAGTGACCACTTTCGACATAATTTTCTTCAAACGATTTCGAGAGAGACAGAGAGAGAATTTCCGCTCTACGTTTTCTAACAGTCGCTTTCAGTGTGTCCAAAATTGATATTACGTACCGATCGCCCGCAATTTAATTTTACAAGAACTTGCCGTTTACGAAAGCACTGCTGACTGAATCAATTGCCCTGAAGTGTCGAGAAAATTAGGTTTTTAACGATTATTTAGGATTACGCGTAGTCCGTTACGGACTAATTCGCTTCATATCGTATTCAAGAAGTGTGCCCGATTTTATTAATTATACTTGCCGTAATTGTGAATTTGCTGCGGTAGTGAGAAATTCAATAAATATCGTATGGTACAGTTGCGTATCAGTCACACAAGGTACCTATTTTTATCTATGTACAAATCCCCAAAATTTTTTATTTTTAAAGATAATCGATTGATTTTTATTGTTTTAAAAGGCACAAAAAGTAAATTCTTTTATATGACTAATTTTGTATAGGTATCATCGTTTTTAATATTTAAAATTGGACATCAAATTTTAAAAAAATTTAAAAAATTATATTTTTAAAATTGGGGTTACAAAAATAATCGCAGTAGGATGTAGATCTGCGTTTTGTGGAGCACAAATAGCAACTTGTGTTGCGCTTCAAAACAAAACAAAAATGTCAATCTTTATCGGATAAAAATAGACACCTTGTATATGGTGTTGTTTTCCATATACGCGACCACAACCCGTCAACCCATTCAATTTATTGAATGGAATCGCCTGATGGTAAACCCCTAACTTTTTTCTTGCATCGAGTGGCTATGAGTTTTTAATAACATTAATCTGGGGTTAGTAGTTTGGAGTCTGTGATATAAAAGGGTTAAACAAATTTGTTGGGTTTTTCACTGTCGGAGTATTTGTCTTAATGTAATTATTTTACGTCATTAAATATAAAACAGCAATCGTCATTATTATATTTCTTTGTAAATATCATTTTAAACACCTAAGCTAAGAATTTTTTAATTTGTAAATATTTATTGTTTTATTGTTCTAAATTATTTAGTTTAGTAAAGTAACGAAGCAGAATGGTTTCAAGCAATGGCGTGTAGACGTTATTTCATACATGTCAGAAAATTTGAAAGACGAAAGTACCGTTACCAAATTTCCGCGATTCATATTTGGACAACTGAAGCTCATACTTTAAAATTTGGTGAAATGTGCCATCGAAACAGGAAACGTGTTGCGGTCGAGCTGACATACGAAATAAATAATTTGCGGATTTGCACCTACATTGTTATAGTATATATTATTGAAAAAAAAAAACTATTCGATATTTGAATATTTCAAATTTCATTGATGTGCGTTTAGAAGCGTTTATATCTCCGAAACACCCGAAATTTTCGTATAAATCGTGCCTGTGATAAATTTTATTTTAACAAGATCTGATGTTGGTGTTAAATCTGCAACACATTATCTTAAATTTTATTATATATAATTTTTTAGAAATTATCTTCAAATGAATTGTGCATTATTTAGCTTTAAGTACAATTTTATTAAATTTTATGAAGTATGTATGGTTTTATTATTAGTCCACGCACTCTCGTCTTTTTTAATATTTAATATAATATATGTAATTTGATGCAATTTTACATATATTTTTTGCAAATTTATTATATAAGCAGCATCTTTTTTGCATACTTTTAATTTTTTTAAAATTTTAGTTACGTAAATGTAATAATAAACAATAAAACATCACGGATTGTAAATTTTAAAACTATGCCAGTTACATAATAATTATTCTTGTCTAATTCCAAAAAAAATTCTCAAATATTATCAATCTAATGAATAGTTCTGCCTCTAAGGTTAGACAACTCTCATGACCCTTGTTCTTTATTTTTTAGTTATGAACATTAACTGTATAGTACAAATTTTAAAAAGGATTTTATTTAATGAAAATATTGTAAATTAAGTAAGCCGTGACGTTTCAATCAATTAAATAAAACGTTGAGCTTCAGCAGCAAAGTTTTCCAATATTTCAACCTTGCGAAAATCAAAATCAAAAAAGATTTATTTATCAGATTTATAATACTTTAACAATAAAACTAATTGACCGATTGTGGAGGCCCAATATATTTTTTCAATTAAAGAAAAACATTCGTTTTCTAGTTATTTTTTATCAGCCTTGTAAAATATTCTAAATGACAAAACTATAGACGCCTAATTAAAACTGTTTAAATGTAGATAATTCTGTTTCACCTACAATATAGTTCTTGTAGCTATTCCAATTGAGTTCTAGAATTATTTTTGTGCATTTCTCAATTATTTTCTATACTATCGTACGTTGGCTGCGTCAAGTCTGAGGTCACATAAAAAAATTGGAGAACAATCCAAATAAAATATTACATATGTAATATGTAATGTAACATCTATACGTCTAGTGCGTTTTACTCTATACTTTTTTTTGAAAATTTAAATTGAGATAAAAAAAAAACGTGTTTTTGCCTTTGCCTTGCAATGTAGTAGGTTTTGTATTTGGCATTTTCTGACATCTAACCAAAAAGGAAATTCAGAATTTGGGGTTAGTTTGCAAATTATTGAACTACCAAAAAATAATTACAGGGCCTCCACCAACGGTCAACAATAACAAAAATTTAAAAATAAAGTAAATTCGCCCTAATCAGAAATGTATTACGATATCGGGGGTGCCCTCTCCTCCATTACATGAATTGTTTGTTGTTTTTAAATTTTAGGTAGGAAGATAAAGCATTACAATAACTGTTGATAATATAAAAAATTACTACTACTAATAATAATATAAAGGCTCGTAAGTGTATTAACCAAGAATTTTTTTTTCTTACATAAGAAATCATATTTCTCAAATCGTATACAAGCTACACTTTCACGCCATAGAGGCAGTACTTTTGTCTCGGTAAATTTCCAGTGTCGGAGTCGCAATTCTGCCAGATGTAAAGCCATATTCAGAATTTTTGTCGCCTGCAAAAAGTTTAAATTATACCGCATCCACCATTCGTCAACAACTTGGTTAAAATATCGGACGCAGCAGAGTCGCTGGCTATATAATCTGATAATGATGACCAAACAATTAAATTAACAATTATGAGATTCAATCATTTGAATTGAAAAATGATAATGCTAACTGCAAAGGCAGGTATATTTTTATATTTAATTTAAAATTTTTTGGTTGTGCTAATTGAAAATCTGTTTTATTCATTTGATTTGCCGAGCTTATAACCGCGGTGTCCGGATGGTAGCAGTTTTGTACAGGGTGTTTTTACATTTTTCGTTTTTTTGAAATGGAAAAAAACAATTATTTATATTATACAAACCTTATTAAAACAGAGCTATAATTAGTAGTCGATCCATTCTTTCCGGGAAGACCTGTAGAACATCAAAATAATTTTGATAAGTAACTTATAATTAACAATATTTCTCTACATATATACAGTGCGTCTCAGAATATGCGAATATATCTGGTTAAAATCTGTCTATTTGCATGAGATCTAGATCTGTGTTTTATTTTATCATATTATCGTTATGTTAAGCACTCTGGCATAATTATGCCAATAAAATTCTGCTAAATAAAACAGTAGCAATTCAAATTTTTGCAAATTGCGTAAAACGCAGGCCAAAGTTTTGTCAGTATATAATAAATATACAAATCTTAACAAATTCTATATAGCATAAAACAAAACATACTACCTTCTTATTGATTTTGTGAACACAGTAAAGAATTTTCACAAGTCAATATATATTATTCCCACGTACCTAAATAAACTTGCCTGATTTCAAATTTTTTCAAACTAACCAGCAAATAAATTTTGAATTACCATATCCATACCCACAGTGTTACGAACAGAAATATTGCTTGTGAGTTTTACAATTGAACCACCTTATATATACAATGTGTATACCTTTGCGTACCGGGCAAAGTTACTAGAGTGCAATTGTGAAAACGTGAACTCAGTGTGCAAGATAAGATGTCTGATTAGGAAACGGCGGAGACTATGGGCACCAGTTTCGAACGTCTATATCAGCTTCTATTAGAAGAGTAAATTATGGGTTTTAGGGAAATGCGACCGTCTGGATCTAAAATGGACGTGGCATTCTGGTTACAAAAAAGAGCAGTGCAGTCATAGGAATGAAAAACTCTGCTATATGCAAAATATGTTGAAATGAGCGTGAATAATACAACAGGTTAGACGATTATGATAAGAACTGGGCTCAATGGAAAACTTGGTAAAATATTGCTTTAATTCAATCTCATGGGCATAATATTAATGGTAAAATAGGGTATTAATCGACGGGCATAACTAATACATTCTTCCATCGACTTTTACCCCCTTAGCAGCAATAAAGACCAGGTATCATGTTTGTTTTATTTGTTAGGAATAAATTAAGGGGCCAAAACATATTTTCCCATAATTTATTCCCTGTATAATCACCCACATTTTCTATTACCCAATCGATCTTAACCTAAACTAACATATTTATTAAATTAAATTATTTATTGTTCCAATATTTACGAAAAACTAAATAGAAAAATATCTAATCCACTCTCAAATAGTGGCTAACCTCTGAAGTTTTTAGCATTGTTCCGCCATTGCTAAACTCACCTAAAATGGTTGCGATTTCCGTGACAAGTCACGTAACATTTGCTGAGTTGTATTCCGCCCCATTCTGCAGCAATGGACGCTCACTGTAATTGTTGACTCTTAACATTTTAAAATATATTGTGTCGAAATGGTGTTTTTAATTTTTTGCAGTTGCGTAAATGAAAAGGCTACGTACCACAAACTATAGAAAGAAAAACATAATTACCCTCAGCGTGGCGCGACTGGCCACGAACTATGCGTTCTATGTTTAAAATGACGCCACAGTATGTCTACAAAGTTTTGTTTTCTGGGAAAGTAACATTAGACAATTTACATATGTACATAGTAAGATAAACTCGGAACTTATTTGATGTGAAAATCCGTCCGCAGCTCTTTTTGTTGCAATATTTTAGTTAAATATTAAATAAATCCGTTATTTGCAAATCAGAATATGTTATGATAAATCACGAGACAACTTTGATAGGATGTAGGGTCAATCGCATAATTCTCGTACTTTAGGCACTACGTGGTCCTCTAGACCTAATAAGGAAAAAATTCTAAATTATTTATTTAAATCAAAGTTGTAAACGAGATTGAAAAACCTAGAAAACTTGGAAATGTAACGATAATATAAAATATGATAAACGGGTATTTTTAATAATTTAGAAAATTTCGGTGAATGTTTTTAGTCCGTTCTGGAAAAATTAAAAAAACTCACTAATTTAATGTAGCCGGGATTCTGTTGTTAATTTATATATATTTAATTTACCGACCCTGTAATGAATCAACATAATCAAAATAGTATATCGTACAACAAGTGTGGTTAACGGCATTTAAGTCACGAGTTTATTTGGCACGAGCGAGTCTTTAATAAACGAGTGACTTAAAAAGTTTACCAAATATATTGTATGCGATACTTTTTCATCGCCCTTTTATTTTGGGTACATTTTCTCAAAACAACATGAATACATTCACTGACATAACCGTTAGAATTGAAAAACGTCAAAATCCAAGCCGTGCGGTAAAATCTCCGAAAACATCCGATTGCTGCCAAACCCGTGCGGTAATATTCCGGAAACCTCCGAAGGGGCTCGGGTCCGTGGGACAACAAACTCACGTGGTAAAGTGACGCTTCCCGTAGGCTAGATCGATGTAAAATTAGATATTTTACAGAAGGTAGTAGAAAAATAGAACAGGGCTCCCGCAACACTTTTTCTTTGAGTATGAAATGTAGCGTATTTTCATATTGTGGCGCCCTCTAGCATTAGACCTTATGTTAAGAGACAATGCTAGTTTATCTCAGCCACGAACCAACTTTTGCAGATTGGAATTTAATAATGTGGCGAATGCATTTTTTGATTTTTATGAGTAATAAAATAAACGCAATGTTATTTTTTACTTTTTTAATTAAGTAAAACATACATTTATTAAAGAGCGGCGCATAATCAATGAATTAAAGCTGGTATAGCTTAGGATATAATGCATTATTCACTTTGGAAACAGGTAGCTTTTTGATATAGTCAGTGATGAATCGTCCTGCTTGGATAAGTTTAGTCATGTCGATTCCAGTGTCTACACCAAGACCTTCCAACATGTAAACCAAATCTTCAGTGGCAACATTCCCACTTGCTCCTTTGGCATAAGGGCAGCCCCCTAGCCCAGCAACGGACGAATCAATAGCATCTATTCCATATTGTAACCCTATAAATATGTTGACTAGAGCTTGACCATAGGTATCATGGCAGTGTAAAGCAAACTTCTTTGCTGGGGCAACAATTAGAAGTTCTTTAATCATATTCTCTATTGTTGTTTTGGTTCCAACACCAATAGTGTCTCCCAGTGATACTTCATAGCAACCATGGTTGAGTAGAGTTTCTGCTATCTTGGCAACAGCTGAAGGTTTTACAGGTCCATCATAAGGACATCCAACCACACATGAAACATAACCTCGAATTTGTAGACCATTTTCCTTTGCTTGTTTTATTACTGGTAATATTCTATTAACCCCCTCTTCTGCTGAACAGTTAGTGTTCTTCTTGGCAAAACCTTCAGACGCTGATGCAAATACTGCTATCTCTTTGGCACCAACCTTAAGCTAACTTAATTTTTAAAATAACCAATCAATATGCTTAAGCTCAATTCTTACCGCTGAAGTTAATCCAAGTAAATTCGGTACTAAAACGGGATAGGAAATGTCGTTACGTTTATTAATTTTTAGGAACACTTCTTCATTATCGCCCATCTGTGGTACCCATTTTGGGCTGACAAAACTAAAACGTTTATATTACCGTAAACAAAAGGATTTTTTTTTTGCAGAAACGCACCTTGTTGCTTCAATCGATTTCAGTCCTGTATCAGAAAGCCTGTTGATAAACTCGATTTTTATGTCGGTAGGTATATTGACTGGTTCGTTTTGTAGCCCATCCCTAGGACCCACTTCTACTATTTTGACAGTTGATTTATTCTATAAAAATTGAGCCAATATGAAAGGTCTATTTGCTAGTGTCACACTTACGCGTATTATTTTAAATTGGCCATAAATACTATTCTTTAGTAATATGTTTTTTATAATTTTCATAATGAGCCGGCTAGAGTTTAAGTCTAAAAAGTAAACATTCAAATAATCGCGTTTGGATGACCTTGCTTTTAACTAACTTGATAATTCATTCTTAATGGAAATACACGGCTGATAGGATTTCTAATTCAAAAATTAATAATTATTCATAAGATATGTTTTTAGTTATTGTCTTTAGTCATGGTTTTCCATAATATACTTAGAATTTCCAAATTTTTCTTTAATCAAAATCATGGGTTCCAAGTGTGGTGGTAATATTTGACTCAATTCTTGTTCAGAGGTTCTTTGCATAGAAAATTGGGACTAATCATAGAGTGGCCATATCCTAGAACGGTTTTAATAATCTTTAGTATGCGGAGGTTCATTGCATAGAAGGATATTTGAACTTTCACGCGTCTAACCATTTCGTTTGGTGGTTAACATTTCATATTGATTTGATATGATATTCTGTCCCCATCTATTGACAAACACAGAAGACTGCATTATTCGAATTTTTTGTATCAAATGTGCTTTACTAATCTGTCGCTTGCTTGGTGTATGCTGCTGTTTTGCTAAGTTCTCATGTGGAGGTTCTTTGAATAGGATCATATTATTTGTCCCTTCAGTCGAAGCGTTTGGGGATCAAATTTACTAGAAGGGACCATTGTTGCGATCATGTGTCTCCATCTATTAGCAGACACGAGAGACCTGGTTGATTTCTTAGACATACGCTTGCCAATATTTTTTTAAATGTACTTAGAATTTGAGTTATTTTTCTATATACAACAATACGTGAGAAGTAAGTTAGTGTATGATAATATCTTGCTGTTGGTTTTTCGGATCCAATTCATTCGTTAAAAATTGCTCGAAAGAACTTATCGATTAAGTACGCCTGCCTCCATCTATAAAAAGAAATGAGAAACCTACGGGCTGGAATGACGTCAGTCAAGTGGTGGTTTCAATAGCCAAACAATAATATGGCGCGCTTAGTTTAGGCTGTAAAGGAAGATTGCTATTAAAATGATGTAGTTCGGCAAGATAAAATTATGTTCCACTGATAAAGTGTCGTGCAATATCGTCATTTGAGTTATGTACGTTCGACGAAAAGTGTGGACAGTTCCGTAGGAAGGACCATTTTAAAGTGCTGAAAAATAACAGTGGGAGGCCTACTATTACAATGGCTGGAGCTGATATCGATATTACTGCCCTTTTGGCTCAAAGGGATGCCATTATTCGCGAACAAAACGAACAAATTATTCGGTTGAAACGGGAATTGGACGGAGTGGCGAGCGAGAGGGATCTTCTTTTATGCGAAAACAGCAATTTAAGGTTCGAATTGGAAATGGTGGAGCTAAAAAGATTGCAAGAAGAAAGGTAATAACCCTTCAACTCTATATTCTGGTATATTCTGCTTTTGGAAATATTTTAAATTCTAAGAACAGTTGTTTCATTCGGCGAGATGATCCATGGGAGGTTAGGTATCGCAACTGCTCGACCGACAACAATGCGGTGAACTTGAAAATCGAATACGTTTTCCCTTGTTCTTTTGCGATAAACAAACGAACATGTGTTTAATCGTGTGGGTCTTTTGGATAATCTGGCAACATTGTACTCCTTATATGCTATTTAATGGGGATTTAATTATTTGGAATTAGGGAAAAATTATATTAATAACGATAATGTTGAATTCTTTTTTGTAATAGGCGATGTTTAAATGTCAGATCCGTGGAGTGTAAGGTTATAGAGAGAGAGCTCTACTCATGCGTCTTCCGAAAATTGTATTTCGTTCATAAGGGTTAGCTCCCCTTAGGACATAAATTTTCTACCCTTCAAATATTACCTGTAAGTGTTCTTCCTTCGTTCAAGCAACAAAATATCTTCTTCGGCGTCTAGAATGAATCCGTATGAAATTTCATTTGGCCACATTCAAAAAGTTCATTAGAAACATTCAATTCTCGTAATTAGGAGCAATGTTTTATGTTATCGAAAATATCGCACCGATGTTTTCCTATTATTGTTAAAAAGATATGTAAATTTTGACTTTTTATTTTATCGCCCACTACCGAGCCTACGGTTGTTTGGTATTAAAAACATTGCTATCACCTTGATTTTCTCGTAAGGAATACAATATATACATACCCATATATCCAGATGTTTCCTCATAAGTCTTTTTATATGATACATAGTAGAGCTCAATTATCAAAATAGTACGCGAACACAGGTTGTCCTAATAAAAATATAACCTCAATGGGAAAATAATTTTCTGACCATTGTTTTGCTTTTGTTCACGAAAAATTTTAGGAAAAAAAACTGCCATTTTTAAAATTTTTATTTGTTAACGAATTTTATCTGTGCAAGGTGGTCATAATTGGAGTGTTTTAAAACCGGATGCCGATATCTTCACCACCAACTGAGATATAGGGCGTTTTTCAATTTTCTGCCCTTTGGAAAATTGCTCATAACTTTTTTATTTTAGCATCCTTAGGACATTTTGTTAAGGCAAACGCAGTGGTGTACTCAGATTTTTTCTACAGTTCTTCATTTTCTCATAAACGAATACAACATAGTTGGGTTTGGTTTTAAGTCGAGCGCTTTTCAATCATACAGATTTGTTGGTATCTGTGACGAAAAAAGGCGGAAATATAGGGCATTTTTTGTTTGTATATTAGCAGGCCGTGCATAATATGTTCAAAAATAATTTAATGGAACTTTTAAAAATACGAGGCCAATTTAAAATAACGTGAGAAACAACCTAAGAACCATTTAATATTTTCATTTTAACTTTAGATATTATTTTTAAAATTAGTTTTAATATTTTTGATTATTTAGAAAACAAAATACTAGTTGTTTGTTAAAATTATTGTCCAAATTCTTCATTTAAAATTTCACTTACAATCCGTGCGTTGTGAGCGTGGCAACTATTTTCCAAGAATAAAGGCAAGTCTTCCAAAAATTGGACGAATATATATATTCATCTTTCATTAAAAACAAAATAAGTTCCCATAAATCTACCTCGTAAAATTCCTACCCATACATTGAATCATCCAAGGCGACCTGACCAATTTCGGTACCGTGCAGCTAGTGCCCGTGAGGATGTACTTTTATTTTCCAATACTTTTCCAATTATATTCAATTCTCGGATTTCCTGTTCTTCATTTAAGTGGTTTTTATTTCGCCTTGGCTTTTTGAAACTTCCATAATTGGTTGAATTATTTTTTAACTTCTGAAATATTCGCTAGTGAATTCAAGTTCATTGGCTGCATCTGCGTTATGTCATACTTTTCATTTTGGTATATTTTAAATTGCTAAATGAACTAAGTGTTTGGCCACTAAAATTATATGTGACATAAAATTCAATAAAGAATAAATGTTTTGTCCTTGATTGACATTGACAGTTATATATATGCACGGCCTACTAATACATAAAGTCTATGTGATTGAAAAGCGCTCAACGTTGGCAGTTTTTTAAGGCCATAGCCAACTATGATTGCCATATAAAATTAAAAAGGTGTATTTGTTTATGAGAAAACGGAGAACTACATAAAAAATCTGAGTACTCCACTGCATTTACCATAAAAAAATGTTCTAATAATGTTTTTATCCAAATTCAACTTTTTCATAAATAAAAAAGTTATTGGTTTAAAAAGGCCCCATATGTCGATTGGTTAGTTTTTAACCATTAAACCATTTTGCTCCATCTAGTTCCGAAATAGGTTTTTTCTGTTAAAACACCCTAATTACGACCACCCTGTACATAATTTTAAAAATCATCGAAGCTTAAAAATAATGAGGGGTAAGTTTCTCCATGCACACCATCTGCCATGATAGCTCGACAAACGCGTTTATGACTCTAAACTTCCTGTCCTGGCGATGTATAATTTTATTAGGTATTAAGTAAAATTATTTACAGTGTGAACATTGGGAGTCAGTATTTAGTTATCTTTGCGGGGAGGTTCGCCATATTCTCAAAATCTCCCTATGTGATATTTATTAAAAATTATTATTAAAAATTTTAAAATTTAATGACAGGGACATTTAGCATAATTCGCTTTTGAAATACCCAATCAAATGTGAAATTTAAATATACTTTATGATTTAAAAACACACGCCTATGGCTTTTATTTCCATTTTTCATTATATATGATTTATTACATTACACGAGGCCTACTTTGAAGTATTACCCTATATCGTATTTAAAAAAAGGACTTTAGTAAAAATAAGATATAAAAATGCACTTACCACTTTTTTTCAAAAAGTGCGTAATGGTATTATTGTCAGTGTCGGTGTTGAATAAATAAACATAAATTTCAGAAATTCCACAAATTTTCAAAACGAGACATAAAAATATTATTTTTAAATGCAAAGTGTGTTTTTCGAATTCAATAAACCAACGGAGGATATAACATATCGCCAATGAAGTGCGTTTAATTTTATGATATTTATCTTTAGCACTTTTGTAGTTACCGACTGCTATTTGTCAAAATTGTGTCAAAAATGTGAAGTATTCAAAACTTTAGCAAAATTTTAGAAATATTTTATGATTTCACAAAAATTTCACGGATTTCGCAGAGCTGGTACACCAGAATGACCATGAAGCGACTCACAGGACCTTCTATGTATTTTTGATTCGACAAAAAAAAATAAAGAGGAAAATATTAAAAACTGAAAATCAAGAAAAAATAGGAATCAGAATAACAGATTTTAAGTCCCTCATTAGAAGTGATATTTTATATTTTATGTGCCCTCGATGAAATAAACGCCACGGTGCTTTTCAGGACGGAAATAGTTTCAGTTTTTAAACGAATTTTGTTATTTCGACGAGACAGTTGGTCTAACGACCTATTTTTATCACGATGGTGGATCGATTTTTCATTATAGTCGAGTTGTGTGAATTCCGAGTCGTTGAAAACAAAGAAGAGAACGTTAAAATGTTGACGATTCCACCCCATTTTCATTCAAAATATCGCACTAATTCAATAATGCCCCAAAAGCGTCTTATTGAAAAATTGTTTGGACTTTTTTTACTCGTAATGTAATCGTAATCGAAACAGTGCAAGGCTTGTTAGCTTAAATAATGAAAAATATTCTTGATTTGACGTCCTAGGTGTCTGGTATCGTTTATTTAAGGTCATTAGCACTTAGTTTGGCTTAGCGTTAACAAGATCATAATATTTCCGGAATATTCCGTGTAGTTTTCCAGTTCACTGTACGGAGTTGTTGAAATGTATTGACCTTTATTAAAACGCGGAAGTTTTATTCGAATTTTTTAAACTGTCTAATTCAAATACGACAAACCAATTCATTTTATTAATAATCCACGATAAATTAAAAATTTATCGATATACCATTAAAACATTTCCTTCAGCCATTAATTTGTACAACAAGAACACAAACTTATTTGATTGATATTTGATTGCTAATTTTCTACGCTAATCATAAATTAAGTCGGGGAAATAGATAACTATTAGAGAAAAATTTGATTCTAACGGAAAATTATTTCAAAATCAATGTGTCGAAAAATAAACAGTTTAACTGGCTGTGGTTGTTGTTATATTATTGTAGCGTTAAATAAGAAATACAAAAGCGCGCAGGCAATAGTATTGGCGCCATTTAATCACCCTGTATTTGGTACGCGGCGACGAGAATTCTTCACGTTAGGCGTCTACTCCATTTGCACCTAACATTTAACCACGGAAATGGTTGTTGCTTCATAGAAAGCAGCGTCTTCTACATTATAAAGGCCAGTTTGTTCGTAATTGCTACAAGCTTAACCTGAGGTTATGTGTTATTTCGTAAGAAGACCGATGATAACTTTGCCAATGATATATGCGGCTTAAGCCCTACCGCATATGTACTACGCATTGGTTTCTAAATAAGGGAAAGTGAACGGATATCCTGGGGGCCAAATGTACAGTTGCCGACGTAACCGCTATCAGCGACTTGGCGCTTTAATTCTGGTTTTATTAACTTGTTTTTTGATTTAATCGCCGGTCTAGCCGAATGGTAATTACGGAAGTTCATCGAAATTATGACGTTTTGTCGCCACTTAATTAAGGCGAGAGATGTGGGAAGCTTTGATTCGGGTGATGTACACTGTGTCTCATAATACGCGGTTCATCCTCAAGGCGTCCTTTACGCTTTGACGTTTCCCTTTTTTACCTAATTATTATATTGTTATTTATTTAATTTTCTCAATGATGCCTTTCAATTTTTCAGTTTTTATGTAAAAATAGACTGCGTCCTTAAAATTTACTATAAATAATGAATAAATAAATAAAAATTGTTTAATAATTGGAATGGTGACCAAATGCAAGCACTAACTTATTGACGGTACGCTGTAGTTTCTCGTAGTTTCAATAATAAAGAAGTTGGCAATGACTTCAGTTTGTCCACGCTGTATATGCACTTTTTCATAAACAATGACGTCCTTCATCCTGTATATTTGCTTGAAGTACATATGTATGTAGTATCGGCCACATTTAACGGTACGTTTTTGGTTTTTCCTGGTGTAAGTTAAAACGATACGATAATGTGTTTGCTTAAAAAAAAGGATCAACGTGACACAAGCTTTCAAATAAACGACAGCTTGCAAGAACATTTTTAATCATAAACTTATGTGCATTATTGCCGCTTTTTGTCGTTTCAATTTATTTAAGCGGAAAAAGTTTGCATTGACCTGGTTTCGGGGCGACTCGGAATATTTTTTTAGTAATGAATTTGATTTTTATGATCGCTTTCGCTTTGATCGAATCGATTGTGCTTTGCACTAATTTCACGTATTTTGGTTTGTCAAAAATTAAAAAATTAACGTACTTTTCCACTGCTTTTGGGGTCTCTGTAGCCGTCTATATTGCGATAAATTTTGTAAAAAGATGAACTTTTATCAGGTGTTTTGTTAAGTAATTTTACGATCATCATTTTGATTTTTATTATCGAACATTAAATTCATATAAATAATTTAGGTCAAGCTGTTTTAATAGTCGTTATTTTTTAATTGGCGTGTTCCCGATTTTGTAAATACATTGTTATGGAGATTGAAAAAAAAAAATTGTCCATGGACGACAATTAAAAAAAAGTACGCTGATACTGATATTTGATACTTGATACTGTTCTAAATAGTAAACATATCGCTAAACTGTAGAATGATGTCTATTAAAATATATATTTTAATTTATTTCAACATTGTCTAAAAAAACAAAAAATGTTTTTTTTTTAAAAGCGTGTTTAGTTATTTTCATCATTTCGTCACAAACAATAAAATTTGAACACATGCTTATGTCAAAATTATTTAAATATAAAAATACAAAGAATTTCCATAAGATGCGAAACTTTTCAAATACACATTACATGGTCAAGTTACAGGTTCCTTTCCATTTTATGTCGACCATTAACGGCGTAATATGGAAATAAAACTTGACCAGGGTTATAAAGCCCATTTATATTACAACTGAGAGAATTTTAATTATTAGTTGATAATTCTTTTTTAAAAATGTGCGTTATCCTTGAAAATATCAATAATTCAATAACAATAAATATCATTTACCAGGCCAACTGGCGATGAAAAAATAGCATTTGATGAAATGAACTAATAATTTTTTAGAATAACCTATTTGTTCTAAATAAGTGTTGATGGCACTTTTTAAAAGAATAATAATAATCGTATTTATTTAGCGTAAAGCTATAACAGAAAACAATCGTATTCACATTTTAAATATACGAGCCAGTAACAAAATAGGAAATTTTAAATAAGTATAAAAGTACAAAAGTACACAAAACAAAAGTCTATAACAGCAGAAACAATTATAAAAGAAAAATCAGATAAAAATTTCAGACAATACATAAGTTTTAATTAACCAATTAAAATCATTTAAATTATCACACTCTAACAAACCTTTATTTAAAATGGTATTCAACATATGTGTAGTTTTACATCCGGCAATTTTTACAATATTTTGAAGCTAAAATGTTGAAAAACCTTTAAAGGAAGGAAAAATCGGATCAGTAAATGCATTAAAAAATAAATAAATATTACAATGGAGGCTTTGCTTGTGCGCATCGACACGATCACAAATTCTGAAATTCCATTATATTTTTTGAAATATTTCGCGCACCCTGTATGATAGGCGAAACATGAAACTTTCTCTCGAAACAGTTTACGTTTCTGTTCAAATTAAATTATCCCATCTTTAACGGTTTTTCACTTATCGCCAATAATTTACCCACAAAAACGAAAGTTTTAGGAACTTTTAAATTTTTTGCCCATAAACGATATACCCTGTATATAATTCAAACAATGTTAGAAGTAAAGGTTCTAGCCCTGGATCTCCCACGTATCCTAGTATATCAATGTTTCTAATAGAGTAAATGTTTTCTGAAATGATTGATTTTTTCAAATATCTCGAACAACGTATGTGATACATGAAAACCGTAAATACAAGAATTGGAGCCCTCGATGTGACCTATACCGCTATTTAAACCGTATGGCCATATTTTTTACGAATTTTGATTTAAGGCTAAAAATTTACTAACAATTTTCAGGATATAACCGAAAAAACGCCTGAAATAAAAGTTATAGTCCTTGATCTCCCGATTATCCTGGCCCAAGAATTTTGCCAATTGGCTAAATAGTTTTCGAGAAAATGTTCTTTTTTCTGGGGACCAAAAAAACCCAAAAAAAAAGAAAATTAAAAAAAATATACTGATTTTTTTCAAATATCTCGAGCAGTGTACGTGATAGACGAAGAACGTAATACAAAAATTGCAGCTCGCGATGTGGCTTATTACAATTGGCTAATAATTTAATGGCGAAAAGAACGGTTGTCATGGTCGTTTAGATTTTTGTCCATAATTGAAAAACCCTGTATACAATCGAAAAAATGTCTGAAATAAAAGTCATAGCCCTCGATCTCCCGCATTTTCTGGTTCTAAAATTTTTCTGATCGGTTGAATAGTTTTTGAGAAAATCATGTTTTTCTGGAAGCTAAAATATTCAAAGAAAAATTTTCACATTTTTTTAAAAAAATATTTGGTAATGCTTGATTACGCTCAAATTCTACTGTTTAGATGTGGGTATGGACTTTTACTTCCTCTCCAAATTTAAAATCCATAGCTACATATTTGGGTCACTTATGAAGTTTTTGAATATAGTACGGAATATCCCGATCACGCTGTAACTGTCCATACAGGCTAAATAGCTATGTAAAAAAAAACTGGCAACCGAATCACAGCCTTCTTGTTATGGTCAATTATCATTACAAAGGGAGACCAATTTTCGGTTTTTTGCAAATTACCGACGCACCCTGTACATTTTTAAAAAATCATCAAGAATAAAGGAAAAAGAAAATAAAGAAAAGCCGAGCTATAAGTTCGCTCTTCTAAACGCTGATGGGACCGCCCTGTATGTTGTGATTTGCGGCGGGTTTAATTGTCTACCTTCTTTGCAAATTACACCGTGCGCGTCATCCTCTCCTACGCGTCGCCGTCGTCGTCGACCGCCGTGTCCACCAGGTCCGTGGTACGGACTTCGTCGACGGCTTAAAGTTCCAGTTATCGGCCAGCTTCACCGTGAATGCGTGCTTGCTCCTAGTGCAAATAGAAACCGACTTGTGATGTAATTCAAGGCCTGAAACCCGCGAAGAGCGGCCACTTAATTCTCAGTCGAACGGCTGACATTTTGTATTGGTGTTTAGTGGTGTCGGATTTGCACTTGTTGAGCCTGAACGGGAACTGGGGGGAATAAAAAAATGGGAAATACGGGAACAAGCGAGCGCGGTTCTCTGTCGCAGTTGTCGGTGAAGTGTTTTTAGAAACGGACCACGGAAATCGTTTCTCGCCTTTTCATGCGGGTGCGTTTTCGGTCTTACAGTCGTTACTTTTTAATTAGGGGGCGTTCGTACGGTAGTTAACATTTGATTTTATTGCCGCACGAGTGGTTCTATATCCGCGCGACCTTCTAGATATTTGATAATTATTGTTGGTGAAGGGGCCACTTTGAAGGCACCTTAGGAAATGTTTTTTTTTTTCAGCCGCTCGGAATGTCGGTACGTAGAAACTCCGCTAAATGAAAAATTCTATTTGAATTTAAAAAAAAACAAAAACTTCTTTGTTTTTCGACGACGTAGTGTCAACGAAATTGTAATTTTTGTTTAGATTTACATGTTTGTGATTTTATAATATAAACATAAACTGTTACCTCTCCACCAATTTTTTTTTATTACAAAATATTCAACCGGATATATATTTTTATCCTCGATTTAGCGGATCGTTTTTGAGGCAGTAAAAAAAATGGAAAGCTAACGTTTGCGGAATGTATAAATAGCTAAAAATATTTCCTAAGCTTTCGGAGTGGAATAGAATCCGAGCGAATATTAAAATGGGTTGCATACTGAACAATCACTTTCATCTGGTTTGCATGTCCGTCTATTTTCTTCGGTTTTAATTGTGGTGATATTTGAATGCTTTCTAAACCATGATAATTATAATGCTTTTGTCATAGTTTATTTTATAAATTGGAGCAATTACATTCACCGCGTTGCGGTTGCAAAATGAGAATAACATTAGAGCTGACCGTACTGTTTTTTAAAAAATCATTAACTCGGCTGTAAACCAAAGCGCACCTTAAACCTAAGTGTAGCATACGCGGAGTTCAAATATGAGGGGTCATCTGTCGTCTTCACCGACCTCGGCACCCGGGGGTGCGTATTATCGTTATCTTCCAAACGGGGGTAGTCGACACAACAGCCCTGCGAGAGGCGGACATACGGTGACTACGGTGAACGACTTGTGCGATCGTACTATTGTCAGGGTCCGACGATCCGGAATGCAGCAGGAGCGAATCAGGGTTGTTTGTACCACCAGAAGACAACACGTTAGCAGATTAGTCACTGTATCGGACGTCTGTCACAATTTGCCGCCCCTCAGGAAGCACGTCACTGTTATAAGGTTAGATTATATTAAATTTCCGCGTATTTTTCGTCGTTATTCAACGAACGATTCAAAAGAGGAAGATGACTTACTGGGTAGAAAATTGTGGGAATATGGTTTCAGTTTAACATCTATTGTTATACAATTTTGGTGAAACAATAAATATTCACAATGGCGGCTGAAGTCACCCGTGAAGTCGTGCGATTATACCTACAGCGGGAGTAAAAATTTTGGTAACAGTTTTCAAAACGTGACTGAGAAATTATTCTTTAAGTTTTCCTTAGGTTGCCAAAATGTTCACACACGAGCTGATTGATTAAACGGAGACATTTTCGATCAAATATATTTGTAGCTATTTCTTAATTCAAATAAATGAAATGGATGATTACGGAATTAGTCAATATTTGAGTCGATCAATTTGATAAACCGATCTCAAAAATCGATAGTAAATACGTATTTAAGGTCGCTGGGGTACCAGTTTCGTTTTGATGCGCATGCTATCGCAATATCCTATTAAGTAAATTGTTATTGATGGCAGCGATAAGCAATTAAGTCAAATGTTTTTCCAGTTGGTGACGAAATTATACTTGCCATATAATAAATTGTTATTATTTGGTCGATGCGTTTGGCTATATTAATAGAACGTTAAATTCATGGCAGTCCTTTTTGTGTAAGCCAATCCATAAATTTTTTATCGCTTTTTTACGACTTCGAGAAACTTCCACAACTATTACCGTGTTTTTGAGGAAACGGAGATTGTAGCGGAAAATGCTAAACTCAAGTTTTGCATGATTTTTACATCTACTTTATATGTCCAAAGTTTTGAAGATTAGACGTTATGTCAATGCTCTGGACACTTTCAGTAGAACTTTCCATACTTATTAAATGCTTCATAAAATAAAATCGCATATTTGAACATCGACAGTACAAATCTATTAATTATAACCTCAACAATAAATAAGGTCCCCGGGGGGTATTAAAGCCCACCATAAACAAAAACGTTATTTAAATTAAACGATCAAACTGGTATTTTTATTTAAAACAGTTCTCTTGTAATAACACAGAAAAATAAAATGTAACAAGATATGAAACAGTTTTTCTTAAAAAAAAAACTTAAACGTAAACCCGTTATTGGGCATTATTTCCAACTAATAAGGCCCCCGGTAGTGGAAAATAAGCAAATAAATTATTCATTGCACTCCAGGCATGCTTCCGGATCATCTTCAGTGAGCCCCATACAATCATCACGCATCCAAGAATTACAGTTTGCCTCATCTGCTACTCTATTTTCACCGCAGATAACGAAAGACCAGTCCTCCTCACTGGTGACAAGGAATCTTTTTTAATTTGCCTGGAAGCTTTGGACTGTAAATTTCCTGTTGAACGACAGCTTAGGTTGGCTGGACTTTCGTTGAGACAAGGAAGGATGTCGCTTCATAAATTCTTTCTACCAGTCACGTCCAGCAATTTTTTTCTCACTGTTGAAACGGCTAAAAATGCCTTAGTTTTCAACATAATTGAATATACTTCCTCGTAGTGCCTTTGGTGTCCAGGGAAATCAATCTCTCGTGCTTTATTCAAGGTAGACCTTGCCCCCAGAATTCTTTTAACAGCTCCAGTTCCCAAATGACTTCTAAGGGTGCGACGTGGTATATATACCACATGTTGTTTCCACATAACGCTGGGATTTTCCTTGACGAAGAAGCAGCAGTGCTTCGTCCATTATATCCTTCTTACAATTGCCCATGTTTCTGTAAAGAAAAATTAAAAAATGTATAAGGTTATAAGGCTCATTAAATTCAAGTGGTGGGTAATAAGGCCCAACTGATAGCTGTCTGGGCCTTATTACCCACATTGCAACGAAATCATGTTGGGAATATACTCTTGAATATTGGCTTCGGAACTGTATGAATGTGTAAATAAAACCTTACTTTTCTTAGAATTCTCGATCTGACCTTTTTTTTTCGAAAAAACGCCACCGTTCAACCATAAATTTTTATAATTGCGACCGGATAATGCACACCGAATGCTATATATACCGAACTTAATCGAGTATGCCGGTTTGCGTAGTTAATTTGGCTAATAGAAGTCATAGATGGCGCCATGATACTTATAAATCCTTTTTTATTGTTAAAAAAATGCACGGGCCTTATTACCTGCGCGGGCCTTCTTAGCCACAAATTTAAACTGCCTTTTGTCGAGAATTTAGGTATGGAATTAAAATACACATGCAACATCAAATATTTTATTTAATGTATTTTAGTAGGTTTTTACTTCACAATGATTAAGGAACCAGCAGTATTATTGGTATATATAGTATATATATTAGTATATATAGCTATAATATTTACAAAGTACAAAGTTCGACTGTACCAAAGCTAAAATGTATTAATTAAAAGGAAAAACACCGACGTTTATTGAATAAATGTTTACAGTCGTAACTACGTTTTATTCTCCGAAGACGGTTTTCTAAATTCATTTACCCATGGAGTGGTGTTAATAACGTATGCCAGAGGCGTTGAAGAATGTTGTCCGTTTTCAGTTTCTTGAGGGGGTTGGGGCTAAATAAATATACGACGCGGATTAACCACATCGCATTATAACAGTGTAGGCCTTTTAATGTGTGCCTTCATAAATCATACCATACTTTAAAATGATTCATTGCCATCAATTTTGTCTTTTCTAATGAAAGTTGTTTAAAACTTTAAAACCATTTTTGTATTTTTCATGTCCCGTCAAAATGTCTTATGCTGTATAGCTGCTGGTATAAAACTATTCAATCAAGCTAAGGTACGTTAGCACCTTGATTGTTGACATAATTCCACTAAACGGTTCATGTTGACCCAATGGATAACATGAGAACGTTTTATAGTTTGACATTTGTGTCGGTGACTCATTGGTTTTAGCAGTGGCGTGCTAATTGTGCAGCCGTCGGTTAATTTTAACGAACTAAGGCTTTAATGGTACGTTTTTCGAGGAGATGTTCACTGCGTAACAGCAATAGGTAGGCGTCTTATTGGTGCAAAGCGGTAGTTGATCGCAAATTAGGAAGTCGCGGGTTCTGGTTCTGGATTTATAACATGCTGACGTCACAACGTATAATCGGTATACCGTTTTAATGGTAATTGCGAGTCGACTCACGTGGCACCAAGCGCAAAATTATTCCGATCAACATCCAGTCAGTTAATAGTCTTTAAACCTACATACATAACAATAGCGGAAAACACTACGCATGTTGTTTCATAAATGACGCTTTATGCGCTTTTGTTGTTAATTTTCCGTTTGCCTGTTTCCGATTTATGAAATTATTTCCGCAATTCGACACCCGAGTCGCCACCGGTTTCAACTTTGCCGCTCTTTATTCGATATCGAATGTTTACTTATCTAAATGAATTTTTTTTGAGAACGCGACTAGTACTGTTTTGAAAATCTTTATTTTTGTTATAAATACAAAGAAAAAGTACTATTTAATTAAAAAAATAAAATATAATTTATAAATAAGATATATAATAGCAATTTGAATAGAAAAGTATTTACTCTACGATTAAACTTACCTTGGAAAAAAGGACGTTCAATTTCGATGTCTTAAATTTATTATTTTATTTAATTATTTCATTACATTATTGCTCTTGTTCTGTAGGTAAAGGTTACGCCACTGCGTTAACGTATTTTCACGTTCTGACTTTTCTAGGCAAATATTTGATCATGTTAATGTGTTATAAAAAAAAAATCAAACAATTCAAGAAATTCGGGCAGTTCCGGTCGGATAAATAAGATGTCAGCACTTTGTTTTGTCGATGTTTTGCAACATTTACGATGTTATGGTTGTTCGTCGTGTTAATTTAATGGACTTTATGGGTTGCAGGGTCGATGAAACAACCCATGCCCACCCGTTTTTTTACCATATGTTTGCATAATTCCAAATGCGCTGTCTAAGAATCAGCTTCAGACCAAAACAGTTCATGGAGTAGTCAATATTTTTTGCTTTTGGCTTCAATATGTCCGCGATTACGAGATTTGGTGTAAGACATATATGAATGTCTCTCTTCAATTAATAGACGAAACGATGTGATACATTGAGGCAAATCTAGACGCAAGATATTTTGTGGAAGAACGTAGATAGAGAGATTTTAAAATTAATTAATTTTCCTTGGTACAAAAGCTTAAGCTTTGATTGAAGTTTGAAGTTTTTCAACTAAGTAGTTCTCATAAATTGGTTAAGGCTTTCGCGGCCCGTTGATAAGCTATTATCTTCATTCGGGAGGAACTCTTGGACCCGGGAAGCTACAAACCCATGTTAAAGGATCCGACGCAAGTTAGACTACGTCTTACCAACCGGCTCATCAAGTCATCATCACTGTCAGAAGAAATCAAGAAGCGCATTGTGAAAACGGAGACTGTTCCACCAAGGCTCTATGGACTACCTAAGATACACAAAGTAGATGTCCCGTTAAGACCAATAGTTAGCGCACCCGGATCACCAACGTATTACTTGGCTAAACACTTGGCATCGCTGCTTCAACCACACGTAGGACACGGCACCAGTTACATCAAGGACTCCACCGACTTCGTGCGCAAGATTCAAGACATCAATATTGAACAAAACGACATCCTTGTGAGCTTCGACGTTGTCTCACTGTTTACCAAAGTACCTCTGAAGAGTTGCTTGGACCTGGTGAACAGGATATTTCCGTTCGATATTTGCAAACTTTTTGAAGTCTGTCTGACCGGTAGCTATTTCGTGTGGAAGGGAAACTTCTACAGACAGGTGGACGGAGTGGCAATGGGAAGCCCACTAAGCCCGGTTATAGCACGACGGCGTTTAAACCCGAATGAAGATAATAGCTTAAGTAGTTCTCTTTTGTCATAAGAAATAAAGGATTCAAGATTGTTTGTAACCAGAGTTTTATGCCCAGTTATCCTACTAAATGGGCTATTTCTTCAAACTTTACTGCTTATAACTGTTAGTCCACATATTTAATACACTTTAAACATATTTTAAAAATGTAATGTATTGG